ATGGAAAGATGACAAGATACCAACAAAAGAAGAATGGCAAGTAAAACTAATGGAATATGCTGAAATGGCAAAGCTCACTGGAAAACTTAGAGACAAGGACAACAGAGACTTTAAAAAAAGACTGGGAACCATTTATGATGTACTTACAGAAACTGTGACAGGGACGCAGGTGGCACTGTGGGTAAAACCTCAGCGCCTAGGACTTGCCGATTGCATGGTCGGCAGTTCGAATCCCCGCGGCGGGGTGTGCTCCCGTCGTTCGGTCCCAGCGCCTGCCAACCTAGCAGTTGGAAAGCACCCCCGGGTGCAAGTAGATAAATAGGGACCGCTTACCAGCGGGAAGGTAAACGGTATTCCATGTGCTGCGCTGGCTCGCCAGAGCAGCGATGTCACGCTGGCCACGTGACCCGGAAGTGTCTGCGGACAGCGCTGGCTCCCGGCCTATAGAGTGAGATGAGCGCACAACCCTAGAGTCTGTCAAGACTGGCCCGTACGGGCAGGGGTACCTTTACCTTTACCTTTACCTTTACCTTTACCTACAGAAACTGTAAAGAAGTGGACTCACTAGCAGGGTTTGACTAAGCACTTACAATTCAGAAAACAAGCATAAAAACTAAGAGGCAATAAGTGGGAAAATAATCAAACGTAAGATGTAATTCTGGGGAAAATGGTATAAAAATGACAAGAATGCAATAACATTTAGCTAAAAGAATACAAAATTAAGGCAGAACAAAACAAGCAGGAGAAACTGATATTTAAAGAACCAGAAGAGGAAGTTGAGGGAAGTCAGGGGAGGAGTGGGGGGGGAGAGAGATTGGGACTTGTATATGTTTCCCCCCCTGTGATAATGATGATTGTGTTGAAGTCAAAATGTAAAACTTAATAAAAATTATATAATAATTTATAATTATATTATAATTATATAATAAAAATAAAAAACCAGCTTTGGGTTAGGTTCCCCCCCAAAAAAAACAAGTTGGGGTTTTCCCCCCCAAAAGCTATGGGTTCACCATGTTTAAACAATAATTAATTTAAAGTTTATATATAGGGACACGGGTGGTGCTGTGGGTTAAACCACAGAGCCTAGGACTTGCTGATCAGAAGGTTGGCGGTTCAAATCCCCGTGATGGGGTGAGCTCCCATTGCTTGCCAACCTAGGTCCCTGCTCCCGCCAACCTAGCAGTTCGAAAGCATGTCAAAGTGCAAGTAGATAAATAGGTACTGCTCCGGCGGGAAGGTAAACGGCGTTTCTGTGTGCTGCTCTGGTTTGCCAGAAGTGGCTTAGTCATGCTGGCCACATGACCCGGAAGCTGTACGCCAGCCCCCTTGGCCAATAAAGCAAGATGAGCGCCGCAACCCCAGAGTCGGCTACGAATGGAACTAATGGTCAGGGGTCCCTTTACCTTTATATATGTGTGTGTGTGTGTGTGTGTATATATATATATATATAGTCTGAATGTACGTCAAAAGATTAATTAAAAATGTGGTATCAGACTGGGAATTTTTTATAGAAATATATTCTTATTTTTTCATTTTATGTGCAATTGCTGAACCAGATACTGTATAAATTGTAACATGAGGACAATACTGCATCAAGGTTGCTGACAGGACTGAGCCCCTCGGCACGTAACACCTCAGCTCAGAGGCCTGCACTGGTTGCTGATTTGCTACTGAGCCAAGTTCAAGGTGTTACTATTAGAATATAAAGCCCTTAACAACCTGGGACTAGTTAGCTGGAGAGGTTGCCTTTCCCCACATGTGCCCACTCAACTGCTTTGACCTGCAGAATTGGCCCTACTACGGGTGCCGCCACATAATACCTGTTCCACATTTGTAAGAAATCGATAGGTGGCAGCACCTATTGACAATCAGGCAGGTGCCTCACTGTTACTCGTTTTGGAGCCTGCATAAAACGTTATTGCTTAGACAAGCCCACCCAGATATGTAGAATGTTTTAATTTTTGTTTAGCTTATCACTGATTTTAATTATTATTTGACTGTTTTAAACTGCTTTTCAAAAAAATGTTTTTACAGATAGTCTCTCTTTTCATAAACTGCTTTAAGGGTTTGTTTGTTATTTACAATCAAGCAGTATGAAATAAATAATATGATTAGTAAATAACATGAATTAACTTCAAAAATATTTTATCTATTTCTGCATCTATCTATATACAGTATTAGCAAGTGCCCTTCCTGTTAGAACCTAAAAATAAAATAATTTTTTGATCCATTAATGGAGCTCTTAGTTTTTCTGTGCAACAACTCAGAAACCAATTGTTTTATGTTTGTTTGTTGGGAAAGTAAAATATCCTGCACTGATCATTCTGTATGAAAGCAAAGGCAGGTGTGTTTGGTTTTCTTTGGGGCTCTCCCTCTTTGCACAAAGGGGAGGATCCAAATCACATCTCCTCTGGCTGTCTTGGACACTTCCCATGGGATCATTTGTTTAGCTCTGATGTGCACCCAAGATGTTTTAGCCGGGAAAATGTGAAGACTGTGAAAATGTGGCATGCAAAAGGGACAACTGTGTGTGCTGCACACAATTGATTGGGTGATGTGCTGCTGCTCCCTTGATTCATCAACCTATTGGCCTGCTTAGAGATATGTTGATTTCTATTTATGACAGTGATCATAGAATTGTAGAGTTGGAAGGGATATCAAGGGTCCTCTAGTCCAACCCCCTGCAATGCAGGGATCTCAAGTAAAGCATCTACAACAGATGGCCATCCAACCTCTGCTTAAAAACCTCCAAGGTCCATTCCACTGCTAAACAACTCTTACTGCCAGAAAGTTCTTCCTGATGTTTAGTCGAAATCTTATTTGTTGAAACTTAAAGCCATTGGTTTGAGTCCTACTCTCCCAAGCAGGAGAAAACAAGCTTGCTCCATCTTCCATGGGACAGCTCTTGAGGTATATTTGAAGATGGCTATCACATCTCTTTCCCAGGCTAAACATACCGAACTCCCCCAACCTTTCTTCTCAAGGTGTGGTTTCCAGACCCTTGGGCATCTTGGCTGTTCTCCTCTGCACATGTTCCAGCTTATCTAGTTGCAAGTTTGGGGAAGGAGTGGACAGGAGCCAAAAGTTCATGGGGTCAAGATTACCGTGGAAGAAGAGTCTGTCATGGTGGGCACAGGGAGATTACAGATAAACAGCCCACAATGAGTGAAACAGGGAGCCCTTATCCCTTCAGACTGTGCCCCTTGGGACTAGTTGGGTGGAAGGCAGATAAAGTGGTGACACTGAGACTAAGGAGGAAGAAGAAGGAGACAGTCAGGGCTATCTACCTGGACCGGTTTAATGTAAGAAGGCAGGTGGGTGGGAGCTGGCTGAGAACATTCTGAGGTTGGTGGGGCAGTGCCCCACTTGCCCAGATGGACCACCCTCCACCGTGTCTAACCTCATCAGCTTTGAGCAAATCAGGACAAGCACTCTACAGCGCCAAATTACCTGCAACTGGGGTGTGGTGGTGGATATGGGTGAGCATATGGCTTTGAGACAAATAAGACTCTCTGGAGGAGAAGCGTGTGTGTTTGAATAAGAGAGCAGGCTGCTTCGTTCTGTGAGGAAACGCAGCACGTGAGAAGCTGATCAGAGGGTGAATAATTTATTTTTGCGTGAGAATACAGTGGAGAGACCTGACCTTCACACCCTTCTATTTCTATCCAGTGGTTTAATCCTTTTACGGAGGTCATGAAACTGTACTGGGGCTGCTGCACTTCAGGCTGTGAATGGGGGCTCTCATGAGGGATACATCCACTTCTCCAAATACAAACGCTCCCTGCGCATAGAAAAGCAGCAGAATGCAGTACTGTACAGTTAAAGAGACTTGCTAATCTGCACTAACAGCCATACTTCACATTTTCATATAATGTTTTGAGAGTATTCAAACCACATACTTGGTGATGCAACCAATAAGATTATAAGCAAGTCTTTGTATGTGCAATCCATTGAGGGGGGTTGTCTATGTTACTGTAGTAAGAGAATTCTTTGTCCCCCATAAATCCTACAAATTGGATGACTTTGCAGAATGTCAATGCTTTCTCTTAATTGCGTAACTTAGACTGGTTTTGCTAGCATAATTGGGAAGGGAGAAGGAGCCAGGAGTCTTATTCAGCCATATTGCTTTCAGATATATATTTGCAGCCTTAAGGACTGGAACTTTGTCCCTGGTTTTGAAAAAAGTTGAGATTTTTCAGGCTGAAGAAGTAGTCCCCTATCCTGTGACTTTTTTCTCCCGCAGCGGTGAAGAACCAAGGCTTTATCCCACCCCCGCCGCCCCTCGCTGCATCATCTGATAAGGGAACAGTCTCATGATGGCAAGAGAATGTGTATGATTTGTGGTAGCCCACAGTTTAATGAAGTGGAGCAGATAGTGTCAAAGCCAGTTTCTGTTGCTGGCAGTGCTGAAGAAAGAACTGAAAGACCTTGCATGTTCACAGGGTACTCTTCCCTGTATAAAGACTTTTCGTGCAGCCTAGGGTGATGAGCCTAGGACCTTCTGCATGCAAAGCAGATGTTCCACCACTAAGCTACGATGCTAGTTCAGTGCTTGGATGTAGTCAGTGAGGGCGCCTATCTAAGAGACGGCATTGTCCTTTGCACAGGACCAGAGTCGGTCTAGCTTTATTTAATTCAAGCATGCATCTCCTCAGGGGCACCGCGACTGCCTTGCCGCCAACGCACCCAGCCGGCTCGGAGCTTCCGCGTTGAGCCAGCCCAGGATCCTCGGATTCCAAGATCACTCGGCCGCCTCCTGTCAAGGTGGTGCCAGGGCACTCTGCACAACCTCAGAAACACTCCACCGATCCCACTGCCGGCGCTTTCCCTCCCCGCTCCAGAGCCTCCCCAAATATAGGCATGGCACAGCCTGGGCTTCCTGCACCCCGCCCCGTCAGGTCTCTCCTGTGGCGCCCGAGCCGCAGTCAATGAGCAGCCGCGATGCGCGCCGAGGGGCGGCTAGTCGTGGCGGCGGCTCCTCCTCCGGCTCCTCCTCCTCCAGCGACACTCGCAGGGGTCTGCCTGGGAGGAGGCGGACTCCGCTCGGCCCGCCGAGGCAGCAGCAGCAGCCGAGATCGCAGCCTGTCCCCACAGTTGGGGGTGGGGGTCGGCATGGGCGGTGGTGGCAGCGGCAGTGGCGGCTCCGCGCGGCGGTGGCGGCGATGAGCTTCGAGGAGGACGATGGGCACGGCCGTCTCCAAACGCCGCTCGCTCCGCAACGAGGCCGTGGCGTCGGTGGCGGCCAAAGTCAGGTGAATCCGAGCTCGGGTTCTTATTTGGGGAAAGGAGGGGGCGAGATCGGGATGCAAAGCGAAGGAGCAAGCTAGCCCTAAAGAAAGAAACCTAGCGGGGCTCTCTGAGGCCGTGCGTAAAAAGGCGGCGCGTAAAAGGAGAGCTGCGGGCGCAATGATGGTGATGGTCGAGGGATGGGGAGGGGACGAGGGGGTCATCTCTTTCTCTCCGACCCCCGTTACTCTAGCGAGAGATTGAATCCTGCACAGGGTGGAGTTGGGGTCGTGGGTGCAAAAAGCAAGGAATGTGCAAAAGAGTGAGCGTGGAGGAATTTGATATAGTCTCCGCGTCGTGCATGGATGAACATTTATGGCAAGGGAGGTTTGGGGTGAGGGGGCAAAAAGAAACACACCGGGCGCGTGTCTGTGCAAGTACCAAAAGACCAGGTTGGAAGGGGCGCGCGCATGGGATCGTGCAAGGGCTGGGAAAGAAGAGCGAGCGTGCAAGGGAGACGTGCGTGTTTCCAGAGGAGCACGTCGGTGTCTTGTTCCGCGCTCGGAGGAGCTCTCCCGCCTCTGATTGACGTCAGAGGCTGGGGAGGGGGAGGGTGCACAGTGGGGAGGGGGTCTGCCACAAACCCAGATTCTGTATTTCCTTTCTGACTGCTGGATCGTATCGGGGCTTTGGAGTATGCTGGATCGGAACGATGCGCTCCTTCGATGCTCCTACCCATCGCTGTACGGATTTTGTCAGAAAGCGGCAGGCCTGGTGTTCTGTGCCCTGCTACACCTAGGGGAGAGGGCTCTGGAACATTTCAGCTGTTCTCTCCAACAAACTCCCCACCACCACCAAATTGTGTGGTCTGAGATGAAGTAAAAACATCACCATGTGCCAAGTTTTCACACAGGGAGAAACACACATACCTCTAGCACTTTTCCTTCCGGCAGTGCAGACAGCCTATCCCTGGTGTGCTGCATCTTCTGAGCCTGCCAAAAGTGTCTGCTGTTGAGCGTGGAGGGTAGGAGGACAGCGCTGCTGCTGCTGCTGAACCCCCGCCTTTAGTCTCCCACCATGCCAGTAAGCCAGAAGTGCTAACTCTGTATTTTTAGTCCGGCTGGCGCTGGGTTGAAATAGCAGATGACGTGAGGTGCGAAGTGTTTTGGCATGCTGCCCAGCCGTGGACCACTTTTTCTTTTTCTTTTGGCAAAGGCTCAAAGAGCCCACGGCTGCCCTGGTGAACTTCCAAGCTCTGGGAATGCAGCAATGATGTTCGGGGGGGGGACGGGGGGGACGGGACCGGCAAGCTGCCTGCCTGCGCAGTGGTGACTTTGCCTCCGCAGCTGTTTAACTTCTTAGCCTTGGAAGATGCTCTCTGCTTGTCTTGGACGATCCCTCTCTGGTAGCCGCGTGCTGACCAAGAAAAGTGAGCCTTTGGGGAGGGGCCTCGTCACTGTGTTGTGTTTTGCACCTAACGTGCTCCTGTTCCTTAGCGCCAGATGAAGGAGCATATGCGGCTTTTGTTTTCTATTGGCGACACAAAACCAAGGAGAATTGCAAGCATCACAGAGGATGTTTAAAATGTAGTGACGCTTTCAGACTGCCGGTATTTGTGGGAGGGATCCCAACACGTATACCGGAAGTTTAGGTTTGTGCATTTAAAATGAAATTAAGCGGTCTTCTACCCTAGTGCAACAAATCCACTTAAAAGAAATCGCAGACTTTGGTTGTTTGGAAAGTGAATGGGAAGTGCATTGAAAAGTGTGAAGTGAACAAATGATTGATGGGAAGACATCCCGTGTGCAAAGTGGGACAAATGCCCAATAAACAGGTTCCCTGGAGATGCCCTAACTCCCGACTGTTAATTTAACCTTACTGAAAAATTGAAATTATTTTCCCTTTAAACAAGAAACCCAAACCACACACTTTTGCAAGAGACATTTAGTGTGGTTAATTTTGATTGGTGTCATTTTACAGAGTGAGGTGACGGGGAAAGGATAAGCAGCAGGTTCTGATTGTGGGGAAAGGACCTCTTTGGGAACAGAAGGAAGAAACCATGAGACAGACTTTCCAGAAGAACGGGCAGAACTCTTGTTCATGAGCAGGGTTCGCAAACAGGGGTGCATGGACCACTGGTGATCTACAATCACTGTGTCCCCGTTAAATATTCACGTTGATTTCTTAATGTATTTGTATTGCTTCATTTATTTCTTAGATTGTAGGACAAGAGAATGCAATTTGAATTCTGTAGAATGTGAATTGTATTTTGCCAATAATAATAATAATGAATTTATACACTGCCCTTCAACTGAAGATCACAAATGAAACAAAATATACGAAAGAAAAGGAGCAATAATTTGAAAAAGAAACCATGCAGCATCTAGCACCTGCAAACACGACAGAGATTGTAGTAAGTGGTCTTCGGATTTTCAAGTTGTCTGTGGGGGAAAAGAAGATTTGGGAACCACTGGTCCAGAGGGTGGGTTGGATCCTGTGGGAGCCTTTTTCCGACAGACTCCAGGGTGCTGATCAAGGTGACCCTTGAGTTTCTGCCCATCTTCAAAATTCTAGGCTATGCTTTCTACATTAAGCTGTGGGATATGATGCTGGTCATGAGCAGGAATAACCTGACTCCAACCCACCAAGAGCAGGGATACTTTATTCATTTTACTTTGAGCACAGGATTTGGTACAGGGGTGTAAAATTTTCAAACTACATAGAACCTTTGTTTGCATTCAGACCCAGTTCCCAGCCTTTGTTATTTTGGCAACAGTCTTTCAAAGATCTTAGGAGTGTTTACTTGAAATCTCAGGAGCTGAGGCAAAGGGACGGGGTGTGTGTGTATGTGGATCTCAGAGGTTTCCCCTCTTCTCTTTTAACAAGCAGAAGAAATGGTTCCAAATTAGCAAATGTGCTAGATATTACAGATTCTCCCATTTCTGAATGACTCCTTTTTCTCAGTGCGGATTTGACCCGACCCTGCTCCTGAGATTAAGTGCTGCAAGCCTGCCCTCAGAACAATGAGGACTAGAATGCTTGTTTGCTTAAGCATTGACACTTTGCACTGTTTCCAAAAAGCACTGGTCCAGATTGCATAGCTGCAGACACAACTGCAAAGCATTTTACTGAATCACTAAAATAAGGTAATTTTAAAGAACAACTGTAGGAGGCTTAGTTTGACTCAGGGAGAGAATGTACAGTTGCTGTTATTACCAGTATTAAGCGTTCATTAGGAATAAAGTTAAGACAAGACTATTTCGTAAAACAAACATACCAAAATGATTTTTTTTCTGTGCCTTGGGAGGTGTCACAAATCCATGATGTCTAGACCCATAGGTGATCAGGGATGCATGTATTAACAAGTGGATCTTTGTATTTGGCTCCCCTGCATGCTCTTATTAGATTCCGTAAGTCTTTCAGCCAGCTCTATGTCCCAGAGCTCTGTGGGAGATTTGCTGGCTTTATGAAGCACTGCCTAATCTATAGATCTCAGCAGAGCTTTCCTGCTGACAAATGGACAATAATTTTCTCACTTAGAGGCTGGTGATGCTGAAATTGTGAGAGGTGTGTGTGTGTGAAGCTTTTGGGCTGCTGGAATAGCTCAATTGGTAGAGCATGAGACTCTTAATCTCAGGGTTGTGGGTTTACTAAAGACCGTTTTGTGTTGATGTCAAATAAGCCCCACCAACTCAGTGGACAACAGCAGTCCTTCAGTGATTGAGCTGGGACATAAGGGTTTGGGTGGTCCCAGGCGTTCAGGGCGTTGTAAATTAACGGAAGGCCCTTGAACCTGGCTCAGGAGTCGATGGGCAGCCAGTGCAGCTGTTTTCTTGATGGTGTCCCATGTTCTCAGCTAGATGCCCCCTCCAGCAGTCTGGCTGCTGCCTTCTGCATCAGCTGGAGCTTCCACACCAGGCCCAAGGGCAGCTCCACATAGAGCCCATTGCAGTAATCCAGCCTCAAGGTTACCAACTCATGGACTGCAGTGGTCAGGTTATTCCTGTCTGGGAATGGCCACAGCTTCACTTCTCTACCATTTCCTCAGCAGTTTGCAATTAAACACACACACACACACACACACACACACACACACACACACACTGTGAAGACATGGCAGCCGATTTCTCCTGACAGACCTGTTTGCGTCCCATTTTGCCTTATGCGCATTTTTGCAAAGCAATTTCCTCTAATATAATGTAGTATTGTACATGTTATTTTGACTATTTTTTGCTGTTTCATGTGGATATTATGCTGGCATCTGTGTTTTTGTACACATGACTTGGCCAGAGAATTGCATTGCAAAATTCGGATAAGGGGTGAATTCTGAAGGGTGGCGTCTGTTTCAGTTTGCAAGCTGTTTCAGAAAGTGTTAATTAGGTAGGTTTGTCTTTGCACGCAAACTGAATCAAATCTTTCTTATCTGATATACAGGGTTCTGGACCAGATGGGCCACTGGCCTGATCCAGCAGGCTCTTCGGAGGCTCTTATTAATATCTCCTCCATCCCTACCAGAGATAAATACATCTCTCTAGGCTGCTGGTATCTGAGATGCTCAAAACCACAGCTCAAAGTCTCTGGGTTTCTTCCGAGAAGCTCTTAATTTCAGTCCCAGAGCACCTGACCCAGCTCTTCCCAAGATGGTTAATTAAGCTCTCTGCAACTTTCATTCTTGGCCTGGATCCTTGTAAACAACTGCAACACCCGTTTCAACAGGGGATGTCTCTGAACGCCATCCGTTAGTATAGCTTTCCTGCTGTTCTGTTCTGTTTTGGCTGGAACGGTTTAACATTCGCAACTGTTCTATCTGTCTTTAGAACTGCGATATACCAGTAACTGTGTGACCTGTCCTGGAACTTTAATGGGGGAAGGATGGTGGGAGGAAATCTTACAAATACAACAAATGAAATAAATACCCAATTGGTACAATGTGCTGTGCTGAACATAGTGGTGGTGGAGACACTTCTCCGATTTATTTCCTGCAGACCTAAAATGAGGAGAGGCCAATGGGAGAGGCCAATGGGGC